ACAAATAAAAATGATGCAAAATACGATATGTGTACAAGATTTTTACATCATATGTATAAGATAAAAATCGTATGTGTTTATACTCAACGCGTCACAAGTCGCGTCTCTAAAACGGCGTCGGCCACACGAGCCGGTCTGGACTCAAACATTAGCGTCAGCATGTAGATTTACTGAAATTAATTTTGTTCTAGTATCTGGAAATAGATGAGAGAGGTAGAGGACAATGCTCGCATTATTGATGAGCCATTCTGTTAAAGTATCCGAATTCAGAAATGGCACGACTTCCAGATGCGATGGAACCCAGTGAACTACGGTGAGATAAAAGAAATGCGGATCTCACCGGATAAGGTCTGGCTACCTGACATCGTCTTATTCAATAAGTACGTTCGCAGTGATAACTGTTAAAGCAATCGAGAGAAAACGGAGATAATTAGTTCTATTTTTTTACAACCACCAGGGATAAAACGTTTGAAGTAACAAATCAGCTATTGACTGGGATCACAACCCACTTGGCCTTCATTCAGAATCATGACGACATTACCCTCATAAGGAGGGTACTCGAGGCCAATCAATTGCTCCCAACCCTTGCAGCCTTTCACGGAAACCCTTACCTCTTTTCTCCTTAGAAGCCTAGATTGCGTACGTATTGCAGCAACAGTATGCTTTTATAATAGGCACACTCACTATGTGCTTCAGTTTGCCTAAAAGGTCAAGTAACCCCTCAGTCGAAGGTCCTTTTGAGCTAAACCAACTCGGATATTATACAAGTCCAGGTGTACCCGAAACGGCTGAGGAGTAAGAGGAAGATCGGTACCCCTAAAACAACTGCGAAATTCTATTAGGCGAAGTCTTTGAGAAACTTGAACAAAATCGTGTAATTTTCCCGTTCTTCTTTGAAGTCTTTCGTCTGCATGGTGTTCTGCGACCACTGTGACCTTACACCTTCCAGTTTTTCACGCATGGTACGTGGTTTACCCACCCCGAATCCTTTCACCATGGGAAAGGCATCTCTCCAGATGTTTTTTGCACCTTTGGATGCTTTGGGAGCCGTTGTTCTCTAGCTGTCGATGCTACAGAGCCATGCCAAAAAGTTCAAGTTGTCACGTGTAGGTGGCTGCCACCCTTTCAAAAGGTGACGGCGCTCCCTATGAGTGCGTCACAGTTTCTGGAGCTCTCAACAGCGTATTTTCTGTATTCAGCGGCGGCTCACACCATAGATTTCGATGAGGTATTATTCCAGTTCTTCCTTCTAGACTAATTCTCTGAGCTACTTAGCTGAGTAGGTAGTTCACAGCGAGTTCTTCGGAGCCCTAAAGAAACTCGCATAATATTTTCGACTTATTTAGCGCTGATGGCAATTACGAGGTGTCATTCATGTGCAATGTCGTTATAAATTACCAAGGCGATATGTTGTGGGTACCACCAGCGATTTACAAGAGCTCATGTATCATAGGTAAGGCTGTTTAGAAGGAAAATCCCTAAAGGGCATTTCTGGTATTCGCGGCCGGGTCGGGAC